TATGTTTATAATTTATTATGAGTAATTTATTATGAGTTCTCGGTTGGAATTATCCTTAAAATTTATTTACTATCCCCACGATTTACATACAATTCTCATTAGAATCACCTAAGAATTCTGCTTCCACGACTTGCATGCACAGAGAACAGACATCCAAGCTTAAACATTTTTTTCGAAAAATTATGTTTAAGAATTCAAATTCCCAGAGGCGAACCAGCCTTTAGGCTGAAAACCTTTTAAATAAAGAAATAAAATATGCTATGCTGCTTCAAATTAAAAACACTTGCGCCGCCATACGGAATGTTGCGACTCGAGTTATCACTTTTTGCGATTAATGAGTAAACTGAACTAAAATATGGGTTGATCTTATTGATCGTGTATCCAAATGTACTGTCTAATCAGTTCAAACCAAACAAGACAAAACAACGGAAATCTCTTTTACAGTTTCCTGTAGATCTACAACCGTTTTTCGTTCCAATTTTAACTGGGCACAGTAGTCAGGAGCTTTTTTTGAGTTCACTGGCGGCGTATCTTCAAATGATTCAGCGAGGTTGTGAACTCCAATTAGCCCTCATTTAAATTCAGAAAAATGTAGTAAGATTTGAACACTGCTTACCCTGCATTCGAAAAGCCACCGGGGGAAGTGTTAGGAACATAACTTTTTCGTTGCAAGCGCTTGGACACCACGTGAGAAGAAAATCTCCTGTATTTCGGGCGATTCAGCATCCTTAGGAAAAATGTGAAAAGATTTTCGCTTGGTAACACCTTGTTTATTTGCGCACCAATAAATCTCGCACTTGTTGCCAATTTTTTTTATCGGTTATAAACAAAAAATGTTTTACTCACAACAATTTTGACATTTATGTTAAGATGACGTTTGTCGATCATCGACGTCTAGTTTCAAATGTCTATTAAAAAAAGCAGTTAAATTTCTTACACACTTTAGGAATTTGACTTGGATGTCTTTTTTCTGTGTTCCATGTATGCATTCTAAAAATTGCTTAGGAATTCAATTCAAAACTATTTTTCTTCTCCACAGAAATTCCTTGGAATTCATTTCAAAATTATCTTGAAATACTGATCAGAACTATTTTAGAATTGCGTAGTAATTCTCCTCAGTATTTTTCAGCAAAGTTGTTATTTATAAAAAAAAAATCAAGATCCTAGAAAAAAAAAACAGATTTTGACTTAGCCGTTGGTCCCCGGTCCATTAGTTGAAGGGTCGATAGGTATGGTCCAAGTGTGGGAGCTGCCTTGCTGGCGGCGGTAGCATTGGTACTCAGCACGGAAAACAAGTTCGATGAAAAACAAATCAAGAAAAAACAATCCTGTCAATTTTTTAAGATTTCTCGCTTGTATCAAGTTTTAGATTTCAAAAATAATTTCTTAATTCAATCTCTCACTCTTTACAATTCGGTCGAATGATACATTCAGGTCAATACCGTTCTATCTATACGTGAAAAACGTGTTGAAATTCGACAACCTCCAATCACGATTTTCGGAACAAGTCCATTTTACGTTTACGAAAGTACACCATGAATACAAAAACCATGAAATCGTGAACATTGTTCCGCAAAATAAACGTAACGCCTGCGCTATGTTGTACCGGGCACCAGCAAAGGCAACGTAAGTCATAGAAACGTTAACTCTGTTCTAAAAAACATGATATTGTGCTGGTAAACGTGCTTAAAGTTCATGAGCTGTGCTTGATATCGTAAACCTCTGCTCAAAAATGGAAACATGGTTCATAGACTGTAAAACGTCAACATTAAAATAATGTTCAATGTTTTGATGGATTCTACAGCAGGGAAGTGGAAGGAAACTGAAAACGACTGAAGACTTGGCTGGAACAACCGAACAATGCAGGTTTCACCCATACTCTAAATTGGCAGCAGGCGGCAGATGGACACACTTTTATCATCATCAATTCAACGGATCTTCGGTTACCATGAACGCAGCTACCACCACATTCATCATCATCATAACAAGCAGCAAGCACAGGTCACATCCCCACCGATGCTAAACGCATCGGTGCTTGCTATTTCTAGGGTCGAACTAGCGGATAACATACCGTCTCTGAGACAATCTTCAAAGTTTTCTCCACAACTGGTATCGCTTTATCGCTTTGGTGCAGGACGTTCACTGGTTCACCTTTTCCTTCAGCTGAATGCGCTAATAAGCAACACACTATTCTTGACGAATCTGAGCACTCAGTAAGGATAATTTTGAAAACAACCTGTAAATTAAAGCTGCAGCTTTGCATGAGATCCAAGTTTACGATGATTGCAGGAACGAAAATCACAATAATTATTGGCGTCGCGTCCACATCTGCAACCTGTGCACGACACAGGTGTAAATAACTTAAAAAAAAAATGCGTTTAGATTTTTATAAATTTTATGGCCACATTATAGCTGTACTTCTTTACTCCAGACCACAAGTGACCATGAATAAACTTTTATAGTGTGGCTCAATTGAATCTTCAACCTTGGTTTGCTTCAAAAAGGATTAAATTCAGTTCGGATGGTCTGCCTAATCGCTAAGCAATTGATTTCTAAACATGTCGATATCACTACCATGATAAAACTCGTTAAACAGTGCACCTAAAAGCGAGCTTTTTTGGGTGACGGGTGGCAAGTTTGTGAATGGTCAAATGCCTGATGTAAGCCAAGCAAACCTTCTATCACCTCTTGAAACATACCACAAATTTTCCATAATACATGGCGGTTTGAACCACTAGTTGTAATTGAAACTTTCAGCAGCCACGCGTCAATCGGGAGCAACACGGAAACAGCAGTCTGGTACGCTTTGGACGTGTATCATACTTGCAGACCGGTATGAATGTGTGAGTTTAAATTAGAAGAACATTTGTGATGTATGGGTGCCTAAAGTGTGCATTTCTTGCTGTGCACTTGGATATCTGATTGCAGGCAAAGAGAGTAATAGAGAAAGAGAGCGCAAAAACTCGCTCTCACCCTCTTGTCAGTTGTAAATCTCTCAATCAAATCTCTCTGATGGTTGCGCCGGTGCGCCTGTACAAACTTATGAGCTTCCCTGGTCCATTCTGATAGTGTTGTTCTGATGAATAAAGAGTTGATTAATTCAAGTTTGCTACCCAGGGGACTTCATGAATTTTCTCTAGGTTATGAAACTGTTTTGTATCAAAAAATGTTTTCGGAAGTGTTTGACGGACATTCTTCATTACGCTTCAGTCGAAAGAGAACTTTTCGACTTCCTTGCGATAAAAACGAGCATTAGTTAAGTTTTGCAATTCTTCCTACTTCGGTTAACGCAAAAAGGGGCATACAAGTTTTGTTTACACAAGACGCTAGGCCCTTCAAATGTTACGTTAGGTAGTGATTAATATACACAGCAAAAAAAGTTGTTGAATATTACATCGAAACTGCTGCAACCAAGTCAATCCATCGGTTGTGTAATATCACATTGTACGATGTACATCGATTTTGCGAACAAAATTACATCCATTGATGTAATATTGTATCTGCTTTTTGCTCTTACATCATTATTTCATACATCAGCTTGAATTACGTTGATTGATATTACATTTTTTTTTGCTGTGTAGTAATAGAAAATATGTCCTTCGAATTCATGGAGCATTGAAAAAAAAAACAACAAAAACTAATATGTCGTGGAAAACTATAACGAACAAAGTTTGGTGCACAGGTAAACAAATGAGGCACGCGACGCCTCTGTATTATGGGTTCATGGTATCACGAAATCATGATTTTATTGCTAGTCGCGCCGAACAGGCGTGAACTAAGTTCACGGATTTGAAGTTAAATTCATAAAAATTCGATTTACTCGATCACATTTATGGGAACTAATAGCAAATTCTTTTATTATTCAGTTCCAACCTGGATCGGGTATCAAGATTGGGTCTGCTTGTTTTCTGACAAACGTTAGTTTGCTCGTTTGTTTTTAAACCCTTGCTCAGGTTGAAGTTCACACTGACAAAATGTTCGGTTTCGCACTGGGTTGGAACTGGTGTGTTAACCCCGATAATAAACGAATTCACTATAAGTTATGAATTAGAAAGAACTAATAGTTCAGTTTATCGTGATTTTTTGTTCACGAATATTGGAACGGTTTTTTTTTTGCTTGTAAAGACCATTAAAATATTCCATGCCTCAGTTGCTCAATAGGCTCAATAGGATCCTGGACATGCTTGGCATACACAGTTGTACACACCAACTGCTCATTTGCTAATAACTTCGCACACAGTTGACGTAACATAGTTCTGTTTGAAACAGTAGATAGAATAGAGTTTAAGCTTGTTATAGATACGTAAAAACAAGTAGATTTTAATTCTAGTAATAAACTGTTTTTGTTTTTGCGTTGTAAAAATGAAGTGAGAAATGCTCGCTGCACATCTCGTACTTTAAGTGTAAAAAATCATTGGTGTTGATTCAAATGTTAAGATTTACCTACTATTTGCATATCTATAGTAAACTTTGATCCTAATCTATCAATTACTTTAAAGAAAAACAAATTTCAACAACGGAGTGAAAAGTTATTAACAAATTAGTAGTTGGTGTGTACAACTGTGTATGCCAAGCATGATTCTGGGGCTGTGCAAACATAAGATGTATTGAGCTTAGAAAAGTGATGCAAATTGATTTATGTTACCAGAGGTGCTCATACCTATTTTTTCCATAGCTGTAACTGTTCGATGGTCATATTTTGATTTTAATTTAGCGTATTTCCCAAAATTTCGGTCATACATTCGAAATTTAAAAAGAAATTCAAGCTGAAGTTGTTGAAGTTGTTGCATCATAGAGATCCAAGCGCACTTTGGCCGTCACTGATCTAAACGATGACGAATTGTTCAGTGACTGTCAATGGTAAATGAAGACTATAATCTTCAAGATTTTCTGTGATTACCGCAAATGATTAAAAATACCTAAAAAAAACTAACATGAAGACAAATCACCTGATGTAATAATTCAACCACACTTACACTCGTATTCCGGCTTTTTTTTAGATGACTGACACCCTACATCGGGACAAATCGCGCGACTCTCCGCCGGCCTACTACCGGTGGGCGGACAAGCTCACCAACCTGCTCGAGGATGCCGACGGGGCCGAGCTGTTCAAGCGGTTTGTGGAGCTCGAGGGCGAAGAGCACTCGAGCCGGCTCAAGTTCTACTTTGCCTGCGAGGGTCTCAAGCAGCTTAGTAATCCGGAAAAGGTGACCCAAACGATTGGTGCAATATACCGGCGGTTCCTGAAGCGGGTACCACGGGAATCGAAGCTGTACTGCAACGATCAGATTCGGAATATGATCAAAGCTGGGCTTAAGAATGAGATGATTCTCACCCCGGACATATTTGATCAGATGCAATCGGACGTGGCAGCCATCATAAGCACTTCGACCTACCCGAACTTCCTCCAATCGGACCTGTACATACAATATGTCCAGAATATGCAATTCGGCAGCGGCAGTGGTAGCGGAGGTGCCAGCTGTATTAGTCTTCCCATTGGTGTGCCGGCAGCCGGACCCAGTTCTGCTGTGCCCGGTGCACTGTCCTCGATGACCAGTAGTAGTTCCACTTCGGAGCTAATATCGCATAGTTCCTCCGCCTTGCCAACCCTGCACGAAGATTCCGAACTAGTCAATGCCGATTCGATCGAGCAGCTGTACGGTGCTACCGGGCCCGTTGTAGCGGCCAGCAATATATCGTTCACTTCCGGTGTCAGCGGGAGCGGGAGCAGCAGTAACACTACTATACCTTCCAACAAACCAGCGATGACACTGACGAAGGATGCACTGATAGCGACGCAGAAGCGACGGCTCGAGATGAGGCCTCCAGGGTAAGTGAATGTTTTTCGGGACAGTCTAATGCAATGATATGCTTTGAATATTTAGAAAATCTTAGCTTCTCAGTTTACGATAGACAATAGAATGTCCACATTCTTTATTTGGTAATTGAATAGCCAATCGCAGAGTTGTTTCATGGTTGCTTGGTTTTGTATCGTGATATTATTAGCTTTATTTTAGGTTAATTGATGAGCTGCCAAGTTGAGATGAATTCCAATTCGGATTTTTTAAATTTAAAATGCAGTCTTTTAAATACGTTTAAGCTTATCCAGTGCTTGTAGGCATATACACGCTAAAAAAATCATACTTAAATAACATCGCATTGGGTCTAATTAAGGAATTGCTAACGATATTTTACTATTTGAAATGCTATTATCATTCCACCGGATATAGTGTCATTGTTAGAGTGCCTGTCATTTCAAATGCATGATGAGATGTCGTCTTTTTGCCTACAGGCACTTCACGATTTTTTATGTTATAGTACGTCAGGGCAACGGTTAAAATACGGAATTTAGTAAGAGAACTAGGGTAGATGTTCCTGTTATGGTTATACGTTCATTTTATGGTGTGTTCCAATTATGGAATATGAGATTTCCATTGGCCATAATAGGAACGTACAGCACTAACTGGTACACCTACCTTATTTCATTCCGATGCTATTTTTTCGACAGTTACTCTGGCTTTTGCGCTTAGCAGCAAAATATTGATGAAATAATTACCTACCTGTTACTACAACTACTAAATGTTCCATAGTACCCGGATTTGTCTATTCAAAAGCAATGCTACATTTTACCACGAGCTGGATGTTTGAAATTGTGACGCATTAGCATGTATTAGCCCACCAACTTAAAAACAGCTTGTGAACAAAATTATTATCAACTATAACAACTCTGCGAATGGAAGTGCTCCTTCCAGGCTTGGCTGAATTCCACCTTGTGTCTAAAATAGTTAATTGATTCTTAGCTTGATTTTATTACTATGTTTTTAATTCGACAATTTTTGTTTTTTTCTTTCTTTTTTCATTTTCATCCTCATTTGCTTACATCGCCAATCCTGTGTTATGTTTTCACTCAAATTGTGTGTGTGTGTGTGTGTTTCCATTATCCTTTCGCAAAATAAAAATCAAACGCATGCGCCTACGGTGTTGTGCGTTTCCCTCTTATCCATTCGTTGAAATCCCTCGTCATGGATCCTTCCCATTCATCGCGTGCACGATTGTCCGTTTGTGTGTGTATGCGCGCGTTCGTTGATTTGCACATGGCCGCTGTTGCTTTCGATGGTTTCTCATCGATGCATCACTCGCACGCTTCTCCACCCCCGGTTCCCACCGCTTGCCTTTGTTTGTAAACTGTAAACCCCACACCATCACCGTCATCATCATCATCATCATCACCACCACCGCCAACATCGGTAAAACAACACGATGTCTCTGCTGCATGTAGACCACACGGATTCTCTGTGTACACGAACTATGCATCCTATAATCCGGTATCGCGCCGTGATTCGGAACTGGCCAGTCTCAGCTCGGGTCGGACCGATTCCGATAAAGTGTCCCTTCCGACTAGCACATCCGCGTAAGTAAATAGCAACTTTCTGTTTTGCCACTATTTGCACCGTGTCGTCACCGTTCATGTTGCTTCATTGCTGTTTTGTAACCGTACATGTGATTTGTTTGAATCGGAATCAAATTAATCGACGGGAATACCTTTCATTGCAGTGACGGTCGACCCCACTCGCAGAGTAAACATCACTATCGTCACCACACGTCGATCGAACGAAGACTGATGAACGAAAATGCCATTGCCAACGAGGAACCGGATGCATTTGCAGTGAGTGACGCTTCACTCCATCATGTGTACCGAAAATGATAATTTGTTTTTCAATAAAATTTTCCAGATCATCCCTCGAACACACAGGCATTTTCAGAAACCCTTACCTCCGGACCAATTCGTCTCAGTGCTTACCAATAAGCTGAAGATGGTTCAGCAAGAGCGAGAGAACAAAGAACTGCTTAGTAAAAAGTTACAGGAGGTCGGTAGCTACTATATTTTCCATTGATGTGTTGAACTTTTCGTAACATGCTTAAATGAACTTTCTCAGATTGAACAATCCGACAAGTCGCAAAGCAATAAATTCTTCGCCGATGCCATCCGTCAGAAGCTGCAAGTAGAAGACGACAGCGATCAGGACATCCTCGATAAGCACGTTTCGAGGGTATGGTCTGATCTCACGCCCAGTCGATCACCGGGTACAATGTCACCGTGTCCGAACATCAGCCGGGCCCGGCGTCACGAGGTGGGCGGATTCGGTGGTGGTTCAATGAGTAAGTTGCAGTTATTATACGATTTTCATTCAAACCCACATTGATCATGTTTTACCTTACTCTAGGCGCACAGTCTTCGATGCGACACTCAAAATCGATGCCCGAGGGACACCCGATGGGTATGATGGGACCTCCGGCGCAACCACGGAGGCTCAACAACAAATGGCCTTCGGTTTACACCGACAGCGGAATCAGTTTACTCTCCACCGACACACTTACCAAGTCCAGCAATGCGGACATGCAAAGTGTTAGTACAAGCAGTTCCCGGCCATTGTCGCGAACCATGCACGCCGACATGTCCCTAGCGAATACTGCCACCCTCCTGCAAGAATCCAGCCGGCGATTGGATGACGAGCCGAGGAGGTTTGTTTGCTCGATGACCAACATTGAAGCTTTCTTTACTGATGAAATTCAAAATAACGTTTCAGGTCCAAACGCTACCAGCATCCGCTTCCACCACCTCCGTTGCCACCGCCTGCCGCTTCCGTTCCACTTGTGCCACCGCCAATACCTGCCAAACCATCTAGTTCCGCACCGTCGGAGTTCACCATCGTGGTGTATTCGTTCTGCGACGAGGAGGTTCCCTACCGGATAAAGATCCCCGGATCGCATCCCCCGACGCTCAAGCAGTTCAAGGACTACCTGCCGAAGAAGGGCAACTACCGGTAAGTGATGAATTTGCTTTTAAATTCGATTGTTTCCTCCAGGCGTAGGAGTTCGTTCGCATACATGCATTAGAATATTTGCACATGGATGTCATCGTTCCTACTTGTTGTAGGATCATCATGGTTGGAGGAATCATGCTCGTTAGCAATTGGAAAGAGACTAAGATGTAATGTAAATACAATGCATCATCGAAATTGTGAAACTTGATTGCACAAGTAGGGTTCTGTCATACTATGAACAATCAGCACTTTACCTCTCCGGGTTTGAACATAAAATGGAATGGTTCTATCAAAGATGACTTCTAAAATTATTAACATTTCCATACGTACCGTTTCACAATTTCCAGGTATTGAAGTTTCCACATGTCAGGCTATTATTAAAAGCAAAAGCCTTTGTATGGCTTCTGTGTATATTCCTCCCCAAGTTTCGGTTAATCAAAAATAACTTTCAGTTATCTGTTCAGTTCTTCCTATTCCACGGTTGATTATGGAAGATTTCAATTCCCACGGTACAGGCTGGGGAGAACTGTATGATGACAACCGTTCTACGTTGATATATGACTTCTGCGACAACTTTAGTATAACAATTCTTAATCAACATTTAACATTTTGTAGTGATCATTTGCCGATCAAAGCTTCAGTTGCCAGTGTGTTCAATCCATCGGAACCCGTTAACGTTGCGTACGATCTTATCCATAAGGGCTTCCACCGTTGGAGAAATATAATTTCCTCTCCAACCTAATCTTGGACAGCGCGCTTCAAGCACAAACTCGGCCGGTTCCAGGTGCGTCTTTCCGTAGGAAACCTCCTTGCCCTTGGTGGGACCAGCAATGCACTGAGGGTTATCGTAAAAAGTCCGACGTGTTAAACTTTTTCGAAAACGTGGAACACCCGTGCATTTCGAAGTGTATTCGGCTCTTGAAAGCGAACTCAAGAGCCTCATCAAAGTCAATACTGGCGGAAACTGGCAGCAATTCGTGGACGGATTATCGCGCGAGACGTCGATGAATACGCTTTGGAATGCGGCGCGATGGATGCGTAACCGGTCTTCTTACAACAAGAGTAATGAGTACTCGGATCGTTGGATTCTCAAGTTCGCGCAAAAAGTGTGTCCTGATGCCTCGCGAAACCTTGCAATCGGTAGATGAGATCAGTCAGCCTTTTTTCAATGTTAGAGCTCTCATTCGCGCTCGATTCGTGTGGCAATTCAGCTTCGGGGGCTGCTAGGATCAAGTTCAACTTGTTGAAGAACCTCCCAGACGTCGCTAAGAGGCGCATGTTGAACTTGTTTTTTCAGTTCCTGGAGCACAATATTGTTCCGGATGAGTGGAGGCGAGTGAGAGTTATAGCCATTAAAAAACTTGGCAAACCCGCGTCAGATTGCAACTCGTACCGACCCAACAATGATCCTTTTTCGCCTGGACAAATGGGTTGAGACGAACCACCTACTCTCAGATACTCAATTTGGTGTCCGTAGAGGTAAGGGAACGAACGACTGTCTCGCGTTGCTTTCCACAGAAATTCACTTGGCAAATGGATTCTGTTTTCTTGGTTTTCAAGGGGCCTTTTGATTCAGTTTCAGTTGAAGTCCTTCCAAACAAACTCCACGCTTGTGGTCTTTCTCCATTAATCAATAACTTTTTATACAATTTGCTGTCAGAGAAACATATGAGCTTTTCTCATGGAAACTACAGCTTTTCGATTCAGCTACATGGGTCTCCCCCATGTAATAACAATTAACCATCGTATACATTCGCTAACGATGTTTTATAATGCATTGTTAATATAGTTCTGTTTTAATTACATATGTGGTCCACAAAATCGAATATGTTTTTAAATTAATTATTCAATTCTGAAAAAAACGTGATATATGCGAAACACTGTTCGTGATAAACCGAGATTGATATAAGGCCATTACAAATTTATTTTAAAGTTTGACCCCCCCCCAGTTCAAAATCGACTTAAAAAATCAGGAGACAAACAAAATAAGCAATTTATTTTTTGTTTATACTAATTACTATTTAGGCAATTTTGTAGTTTTATTTACAGCTCGATTTACAGTGTAGAAATGAAAACGTCAAAATCTGGCATGTGACTGAATGAGCTGGATCTAGCTGGATTACCAAGATGAAGTAGTCGTTTTAATGGTGTTGCCAGGTGGTTCCAACAAAAACGTTCCGTGTGACAATGCTGCAGCAAAAAAACACGTTGGAGGTTAGGTTAGGTTTTCTTTATTAAGGAGGCTTTCAGCCTGGGACTGGTTCGCCTCCAAACACGTTGGAAGTGTCACAAGAGCTCTGTTTCTGTTTGGAACATTGTAAAAGTTCAGGGAAAGTTTTAGAACATCAAAGAACTTCATCGATCATTACGAAACTTCAAGTAAATCCGTGGAAGTTCAGAAAATGTTGTTAAAGTTTACGACACCTTCTAAGTAAATTCTGAAGTAAAGTAAATTCTGAAGTAAAGTAAATTCTGAAGAAGTTCTGCAAACTTTGCAGAAGTTTATTGAACGATATAGAAAAAAAGAAAACTTTGTTAAAGTTCAGTGAACCTTATAGAAGTTCTACTAAATTTGTAGAAATTAAGCGAACTCCTTAGAAGTGCTGAGAACTGTATAGAAGTTTAGTGAAATGTGTAAAATATTAGTGATTTTTGTAACTTTAGAGGACTTAAGTGAATTTTTAAAAAAGATCTTCATTAAAATTTTAATTTAACTTCAGGGAATTTCGTAAAACTTTAAGGACATCGTAGATGTTCATGAAACACAATAGAAATTTAGAAAACTTGGTAGATATTCTGGAGCTTTAAAGAATTGAATAGAAACTCAAAGAACTTAAAAAAATCCCACGACTGAAAGTCTCGAAAGAATATTGAAAACTATACTGGTAAGAAGTGGAATCTCTGTACAAGTCTAGGAAGTTTCATACAAGTTCAGGGAACGTTACCAAATTTTACAAAATCTCACAAATATTCAGTGATCTTTTGACGTAGGACTACGTCTTTCCTTACTATACTGGGGATCACATAACGAAATCGAAAATCTGGCATGTAACGAAACTGGGGGGTGTTTTCAAACGTATATTTTTCAAAACTATTAATGGGAAATATGTCCTGCAATATTTATTTTGACGAATACATTTTTTAATTTTTTTATGTACAGTATAAATAGTGAAAATAGTTAAACAATTAATAAATTTAACGAACAAAATAGGAATATTTCTTTAAGCAATCAGAAGAGTGGGTAGAAGGCAAGAATCTATATTCTCTCGCACGGTCAACACTTTCCAGCCCATGCAAAAATCAAACTCGCACTGCGCATGCCGAAACGACGGTTTCCATTTCGGCGAGTTGATCGGAGCTCAGAGTAAAGCTGAAAAATATATCGTTTTCTGAGCACAGTGATATTTTTTTTCAAACTGACAAACTTTCATCTCGATTTTCAAATCAAGATTTAAAGCAAAATAATAACTTCAATGTTTGACACTAAACTGACATACTGACAGCTCGCTCCCATACAAAGTGACACCGATGAGCGCTAATAAAGTGATTTTTTCAAATGTAATCGTACTTATTTAAAATAGTTCCAGTGTACCAAAATTGATGAAATTTTGGGTTTGGTTACCCAATTGATCACGTCAGTTGAATTCAACTGACTTCAACGCGAATTGAACATGTAAACCGTGCCATTCAACTGACTTGATCAACTCGCTTGAATTGAAAAAGTCGAACCAGGCTCAACTTTTCAAGCCAATTGAATTCAACTGAGTTGATCATTTGACTTGCCTAGTCCACACCTAGCTTAACGCTAGAATAATGCTGGGTTTGTTTAGACTAGGCAAGTCAAATGATCAACTCAGTTGAATTCAATTGGCTTGAAAAGTTGAGCCTGGTTCAACTTTTTTCAATTCAAGTGAGTTGATCAAGACAGTTGAATGGCACGGTTTACATGTTCAATTCGCGTTCAAGTCAGTTGAATTCAACTGACTTGATCGATTGACTTGCCCTATCTAAACCCAGCTTAAGGGGAGGCGAAGAGCAGTGTCCATAAAAACGACTGCCAAATCGCTCCCACCGTCATTTACAGTCAGGCAGGCCCCTCGCGAACGGTTACTTTCCACTTCTGACTTCTCCCAATCTGGTCTCTTCTTCAATTCGGCTAAGGAAGTCGACAGAGTTTCCACGAAGCTAGTGGAAATTCAACGCTATTCCCGTATAGTTCATTTCGTACTTTTGATGCCATGATGACGCTTCTTCTTCTTGGATCGTTCTGTCAGCACAGAACCGTTAACTGTCTTCCTCAGCGCTTTCGTTCGAATCTTCTCCTGTCCCGTCCGATTTTTTCCGCCCGATCCAATCGACTCTTCCTTTTAAACATCTTCATCTTTAGCGTCACTCCTGTCTTCGGACCCATTCACGGACTGGAAACATATCGAGCTGGTCGGAGCTAGGAGCCAACGCCAATACAGGGAAGAAATCGTGCAATGGAGAAGTCTTAGACCCGGAAGAGTTAAAGCTGATGGCCAATGGTCAGCAAAAGGAATATCAGTTAGTTAATACAGTCTTTTGTCGTTCACCATCGTTCATTTCGACAAGATTGGAGCTCAGAGTAATGCAAGAATGAGGAGGTGAAGAGCAGTGTCTATTGAAACGGCTGCCAAAGTGCTGCAAAATCTCGACAATACACGGCGATATTCAAAATTCTGCTTTGGTCACTCATTTGAGCCAGAGACGATGTTATATAAGAGACGCGCGGAAAGAATAAAAGTAAATCTGGTTGCACGGCTAACTAATTTCTTTTTCTGCAAGGTTTGGCAACCCGCAATTTTGCATTTACTTCAAAAGACTTTTAATTTGAGCGACTGTCGTCTGCTTCAGCATTACGGTAAAATTAATACTTTTTTAACCGATACTACGCTATTCAATGGAAGTATTTGAAGACTCAATTTTTGACAACTCTGAGTGAAACCAAATATACCACATTGGAAGGTATATTGTACAGA